CTGTTCCTCAATTTCAGTCCCTCAGTCTCAGTCCCTCAATCTCTGTTTCTCAGTCTCACACCCTCAATCTCTGTCCCTCAGAGCCTGAGTTTCTCAGTCTCTGCCCTTCAATGTCTTCCCCCCAGTCTCTGTACCTGTTTCTCAATTTTCACTTAGACCCCCATTTTCTCAGCCCCTCAGTCCCTGCCGTCAATCCCCAGGTATCTGAGCTGAATCTGTTCATTGTTGTGAATAGTATGGGATAATCTGCTAATGTTTTAACCAGTATCAAAGTTGAATTTTGCGATATGTGTTTCAGGTACTTGGTGAGTCGCTCGGACATGCATCAGTTTATTGAACGCTGCATGAAAGCAGTGGGTGCCCAGAGCAGCCATGGCTCAGCGTTGGCTGAAGTCTTGGTGGAGGGAGATTATCGAGGACATTACAGCCATGGACTCAACAGGCTTGGTGTGTGGATCTGCAGTCATAGAACAATGGAACTGAATCCAGCTCTCCACAACTCCCTGTTATTACATCAATAGTTTAATAGCTCTTTACAAAGAAACATCAAAGTTTTGAAAAAGTACTTTTGCTGTGAAGCAGCTTCATTGAATAGAGGAACAGGAGGTGGCTATTCAGCCCTAGTGATGTCAGCTAGGTATGGAGGATCTTGGGTGGATCAGGATCTATAGGATGATGATGGGGGAATCTGAGAGATCAGATTGAGGAGATTGGGTATTAGAATGGAGTGTCAGGGAATGGGGGAACCTGGGAAATCAGAATGGGGACCTGAGGGATGAGGGAACTAGCTTATCAGAATACGGGAGGAATGATGTGTGAGAATGGGAGTTCTGGACAATGAGCTATCTGGGTAATATTGGGGATTGTTACATTGACTCACTTGTTCCTCTTTCTTGGCCAGTGCATTTTTGAAAGAGCAAATAGATGGTTGGGAATTGCTGTCCTGATCTTCACCCCCCACTCGCTGCAGAAAGCAGAACCTCTCCTAGCTTGTGGCGGCAACTCAGGTGTTAGCAGTGATCCCATACCTCAACACAGCAATTTATTAAACTACCCAATAAAGAAATTATCATTTATCAAAGTTGTTCACACAAGCACATTACTGGAAGCTTCTCAGGGTCAGCATTGAACAGGTTTAGGCTTGGTGTTAGGGTTACCATTAAGATCAGGGTTAGGGTCAGTGAAATGATTCTCGCTGTCAGCCTGTGTGTTGTGTTGAGGTTAGAGATGGGTTGGGTTATGGTTGGAGACATATTTTGGGTCATGTCAGAGGGAGGCGTTTTTGTGAACAATATGATTATTTCAATCAGCCTGCCCATGACATATTAAGGTTAGTGTTAGGTCAGGATTTGGATCAGTATAATGGCCAGGATAAGGGTCAGGGATTCGATCCTCACACTTGGTCTGTCTGTATTGCAGATATGTATTTGAAAGACCTGGAGACCGGAATCTGTGCCAAGGATGGAGAGCCTTTAATTGAAAAGTCAACAGTGGCTACAGCATTGGTAAATGGCAATAACCTGATAGGGCCTGTGGTTGGCAATTTTTGCATGGATCTGGCTATTCAAAAAGCCAAAGATGTGGGAATCGGATGGGTATCAGCTTATGGTAAGTTCAAATACCAGGACCAGTAGGAATTAGCTCTGTTATTTGTTCATCCATCTTTACTCTTTGAACTGAAGGAACTGGGTACTAAAACCAGATAGTCCAAAGCCCCCAAAGTCATTTCTGTACTGCTTAAGCTGAGTTGATAGTGAAGTGGGTTAAAAAAAGGAAAAGGAATGTGTGGAACTTATGCAAGAGCAAGAACATTCAAAGTTGTGGGCAGTGAAAGACCGACCTAATGCATCAGATGTTTCTTCTTCAGTCCTGGACTGACTGGGAACTCATTTTCCAGACATACCCCACCCACAGCTCTGGAGTAACGGAGAGGCATGCTCCCATTCCCAAAATGATTCCCACCCACAGCCCAAGAATAATTGGAAAACCCCTCTTAAAAAGAATCAACATATGAGGGATAGTGCTCTCTGAGCCCCAACAGTAGGAGGTAACAGTGACAGTGAGATAGTCACTGTATATCTCTATCCTTTTGAATCCAGTGTGATTAGTCTGCTCCAAAAATACACCCACCTTCCTAACATGGGTAATAGTTTTATTTTTTTAAATCTTACATTTGAAAACATTAGGCATCAGAAACAATTATGATCACATTCAGAGGAAATGGCAAATCAGAACTTATCACAAAGTCAAAATATAACAATTAATTTTAACATTTTTAGCTTCTTCCTTATCTATCTACTCTTCAATCATCCATGCACATGGGTGGGAAAATTTGTATCATCATTGTTGGGGAGAAAAGTGAAGGAGCCATTATAAAATGACACAGTTTACATCTTCATTAATTCACTTCAACATGCTGCTAAACATTTAGTTTAGAGTGCTATAAATGTCATCTTTTGATGTGGTTAGGGTGGAATGAACTGGATTAAGTGGCTACATGTAACTCAATCTCCACTTTAAAATCATAAAAGAATTTTAACTGCAAGAAACAGGTGCATTGGGAGTGGATGGAGCTATGAAAAGTGCATGTTTGAAGGCTGTTGTGGTGCAGTGGTTAGTGTCCCTTCCCTTAGACAAAGAGGCCTGGGTTCAAGTCCTACCTGCTCCAGAGATGTGTAATTACATTCCTGAATAGGTTTATTAGAAAAATAGGTTTTTTTTAAAGAAGTGGTCATTTTTCCAGCAGGAGACCTGGGTTGAACATGCCCACTTCAAGTGTTAATCAAAGTGTGATTGGATTCCAGTTAAAAACCTACTCACCAACTTTAGGGATTTAATTATTGCACGTAGGAGGATATTTACTTGTATAATGATCTCAATGAAATTATTGAGATGCAGGTTACATTTAACTTGACTTCACGATATTTAACTTAAGTAGCTTGGAGTTTCAAACACTCAGCAAACTGGCCAGGGAAGTGGAGAGAAGAGTGAACAGCAGTTAAAGTGTTTTTTTTATTCACTCATAGGCTGTGAGCATCACTGGCTGGGCCAGCATTTATTTTCCTCCCTAATTGCCCTTGAGAAGATGGGGGTGAGCTTCTTTGATCTGCTGAATCCATATGCTGTAGATCGAACCACAATGCTAAAACGGAGGAAATTCCAGGATTTTGGCACAGCAACACTGAAGGAACAGTGATATATTTCCTAGTCAGAATGTTGAGTGGCTAAGAAGGGAACTCGTAGGGAGTTGGTTTCCATGTACCTGCGGTCCTTGACCTTCTAAATGGTAATGATCGTGGGTTTGCAAGGTGCTCTCTAACTATCTTGGGTGATTTTCTGCAATGCATCTTGTGGATGCTACACATCGCTGCTACTGAGATTCGGTGGTGGATGTGGTGCCAGTCAAGTGGGCTGCTTTATCCTGGAGGGTGTTAAGCTTGAATGTAGTTGGAGTTGCACTCATCCAGCCAACTGGAGAGTATTCTATCACACTCCTCACTTGTGCGTTGTAGATGGTGGACAAGCTTTGGGGAGTCAGGAGTGAGTTACTTGCTGCAGGAGTCCTAGCTTCTGACCCGTTCTTGTAGCCGCTGTATTTATGTGGCTATTGCAGTTCATTTTCTTGTCAATGGTAACCCCCCAGGATGTTGATAGTGGAGGATTTAGTGATGGTAATGCCATTGACTATCAAGGGGCAGCACTTAAATTGTTTCTTATTGGAGATGGTTATTGACTGCCATTTGTGTGGCATAAATGTTACTTGTCACTTGTCAGCCTGGATATGGTCCAGGTTGTGCTGCATTGGGACATGCACTGCTTCAGTGACTGAGAACTGCTGAATATTGAGCAGTCATCAACGGATCTCCCCACTTCTGACCTTATAAAGGAGCTGAAGGTGGTTGGGCTCAGGACACTACCCTGAGGAAGTCCTGAAGAGATACAAAAGCAAAGTTGCTGGAAAAGCCCAGCAGGTCTGGTAGCATCTGTGAAGGAAAAAACAAAGTTAACGTTTCGGGTCCGGTGACACCTCTGAGGAAGATTCTGAGGAAGGGTCACCAGACCCAAAATGTTAACTCTGTTTTTTCCTTCACAAATGCTGCCAGACCTGTTGGGCTTTTCCAGCAACTTTGTTTTTGTTGCTGATTTACAGCATCCACAGTTCTTTTGGTTTTTACTTCTGAAGAAATGTCCTGGAGCTGAAATGACTGACTTTCAACAACCATAACCATCTTTTTATGTGCCAGGTATGATTCCAAACAGCTATTCCCCAATTCACGTGCACTCCAATTTTGCAAGGACTCCTTGATGTCACACACTGTCAAATGTGGCCTTGACATCTCACCTCTGGAATTCAGCTCTTTTGTCCGTGTCTGAACTAAAAATAAGTGGCTCTGGCAGAACCCAAACTGGGCATCAGTGTGCAGAATATTGAAATATCTATTGTCCAATCTGAATAAAAGTTCACTTTTGGCAGCTTTTCTCTCAGTTTCCACTATTTACCAGGTAGTGCTTGTGGCAATTCAACTAATTCCTACTTTAGTGATTTTCAAAATGATCAGGATGGATATGATTAATAGGACATTAGAAGAGGTGAGCATCACTGTTCATGGCAGTGATGATATGTTGCAATACACTATGCACAGGACAGATGTGCTGGGGAAAGTGCCTGAGCCTGCAGGAGGAACTATACATGTCACAGGGTTTGTAGACAGATGGTCAGCTTCTTTGAGCTTTTGGAAGAATGGTGCCACCACATGCCACCATAGCTTGTCATATCTGGTGATGGAATATATCTCAGCTTCAGTGAGGAAGGCCTGCTCCCAGCTGGACCAGGAGTCCAGGCCTTGCCAGTGGATGGCAAAGTGACTGCTTCCCTCAACTCTTTCAACCACCAAATCCTTTCTTGGTACTGACTTTATATCCAGGATTTCCTAGTGGACAGCCCACAAATGAGGTTGACTGAAGGCTTGTTTGCCAGGACTAATAATGATGTAAACTTCCTTCCTGGTGACACTGACCAGAATGAGCAGACACTCAGATTCACCCCTATGGTTGGATTACCCTGTTACAACATCAACTATATTCACATGGCTATCACTGCTACAACATCCAGGGGTGTTTATGAGAATATTTATCTATCAGTGCACAGTAGCTGTACAAGTACAAGAGGGAATCAATGCAGTTCTAATCCAGAAGCCTCGGGAACTGATCTGATACTTTCATTCTTCAGCAGTCCAACATCTCAGAGGCTATTGTACCAGGTAGCAGAGTCAAAGTTTGACTGTAGAAGAAAAGAGAGACTCCTTGCAAACTTGCCTCATGAAACCTTTGAGGAACCCCATCAACATCAGGCATATAAACCTCAGGTGTGTCATTTGGCAAGTTAGATATTTTCTAATCATCCTGTTCAGAAATGTTATTACACACCTGTAGACGAGATGGGATTGAAACCCAGGTCTCCTTGCTCTGAAATAGGAACACTCCCACTGTACCGCAAAAGCCCGAGCATTGGACGAGTTATTATAATGTGCTTCAGATGACCAGATAGTTCTTGAAGCATTGATCAACCCTTATCAGATCCAGAATCCAGAATGAAAGTGGCAGACAGCATCCTTCACAACATTGAGTGGCAGAGAAATGCAGGTGGAGAAGGATGTAAGGGCTCATTGTTCCCTTTTCCAATGGGAACTTTGAGAAGAGGTAGGATTGAAAATGGACACCCGCCAGCAGACCATCACTGACATTGCTTGACAGGATTCCCAGTATTGTCACAGTTCACCTAATGTGGCACACAATAAGTGAAACTTTATTGTCGCTCCCACCATCAGTACCCAACCCCTCACTTCTCATCCCTTTGTATTAAACAGTGCTTCAACTACACATCCACTGCCCAGCACAAGCCATTAATGCCATTGATTATGGAATATGAAAAAGTAAGTGAGAATTTGGGATTGAATACTGATCAAGACATGAATATTGTGTTTAACAATACATCTTATGTGGCCTTATAAATAAAGGAAATGGAAGAACAAACATTGTCAGTCATTTGTAAACCCTTAGTGAATTACAGTATCTTCAGCTTGTATTTCCTACTGCTTCTGTCTGGTGTGTTCCATGTGGCTTCGGCAGAGGTAGACAGAAGCTGCTCATATGTCTACTCTGGCTGCTTAGATGTTTTAGTGGGCTGATGACCCTTTTTTGGAGATTGTGATGGCACTGCTAAAGATTTCTCCACCTGAACTGGGGCATCCACAGTTGTCAAGAAATGTAGCAACCCAGCCCAGTACTTAAGGGATTGATAAGAGAAATGGAAGTACTTTGAGTGGATTTTCCATGTCCAAGTCTTCTTTCCCTTATCATCTCCCTCCTGGATCTGCACCACGTTCTTTCTGTCCTGCCACATACTAGATTACTGAAGATCAGTGACTTGCTGCAGAGTTACAGATATCTGCCAGCCTGTTTTAAGATCAGTTGGCATCCAAAGTCTGCAAGACTATAGCCATGGCAGGCATGAGCTATTTTAGAGTCATGCTTGGAGCTCCATGGAGCAGGACAAGATGGACAGTTTCACAATAATCTACACTACCAATCCCTTAGTAATCGAGATG